GACGGAAGAGGAGGCGAAGGAAACATAGTGCTCAGCAAATCCGATAAAGGAATAAATGTTACAGTACTACTTTTCTCCGAGTTTCTTTTTGCAATGCAAAAGACGAGGAAGAAATATTAAACATTTTACTCTGGGAAAGGTCTTTGAGCAGCAACTTTGAATTATTTAGAACAATTCAAAATCACTAGAATTGAAAATGGTCAGTAGTGAAATTTCCCTTGTAGTCAGGTGAAAAAACACACATTCTCTGGGATAATATCAGTACAGAAATCAATTAGAAAATGATCAGACAAAAATGACAATCACATTTTAAATTTATCTAAGCAATAGTTTGAGTAATAGAGTTTTTCACAACTCAAATACAAGTACAAATACTGCACGAATTACACTAGAGTTCTTTGATAAAAGTCCATTCATTCATTCAGACTGCTCAGTCAAAGTCCAAATCTAAATCTAACTGAGATTATTTTGCAAGACTTGAAGTATTTATACATTCTCTATCCAATTTGAAATAACCTTTAATATTTGAGTAAACATTCAAGTATTATTGTAACTAAAATTAAACTGTTATTTTATACATAGGGAAAACAATGTATTTTTTATTGCTTTTGGATGAATGAATGGACTTATAACGAGATCTAAAAGAAAGAATAAAACAATGCAACACAAATGATCGATTTGTGTTGCAGATATGCAGTTTTTTTTTATTTAATCAATAAAAAAACTGCATATCTAGATCCAACGAATTGCAAGTTTAAATAACCACTAAAAGCTTCTTCAGAATCGTCATTGTACTTACAAAATGTTCAGTAAATAACAATTCAACAGCTGTTAAAAGATGTTTTTGACCTTACCAATATGGCCTCCATGTTGCTACAATGTCGTCACGTCCGGGCTGTGCTCAGGAGAACCACCAATATGAACCTCTCGCTTCCGGTGATTCCTCCTTTTCGGCAGCGGCTATTTACTCGCCAACATGCCAGTGAGTATCAGAAGGCGGATGAAATCCGTCATTTATGCTTCAAATCGATTATTAGAGACATAGTCCAGGGCTGAACAGTTTCAGAAGAAATTACTGCTTCGATTCGTGCCACTTTGAGTCGGTTTAATCCGGGCGAAGATGCTGGTTTTTAATCATTTTTCAGACCATCTCGAGCGCGTTGTGAGACAAGATGGCTGCGCGCACACCGCAAACATGGAGCCAGTTTATCAGAGAAGCTGAATAGAGACACCGGATGATAATTATCGTAGTTTAACCTCGATAATAAGGTTTAGAGTTACCTAAACACCCGTTTGTAGTTATGTAAACATTGTTTTGTAATAAATACGCAGAGTGTTATCTAATGTAGGAAAGGTAGGCCAAGACGTGGGCCCGAGCGGGCCAACGCAGCGATGCTAAAACTGAGCCAGACGTGTGTCGGCCTCATTTTTAGCCAAATAATTAAGTCAATATGCAATGCGTCACAAGTTTTTGTAAACTTAAATCTCTACAAAAACTATTATTGATTTTTGAGTCCTTGCTTTACAGTTTTTGTCTCGCTTTATGTCGCTTATCACGTTTAGTGACGTCTATTTCATTTCCTCCTTTGTAATTTAGCTCGCAAAAGACTTGTTGCACCCATCCCCTGAGGAGGAGAAGAGGAGACACAAGAAGAAGCGTCTCGTCCAGAGTCCCAACTCTTACTTTATGGATGTCAAATGTCCAGGTATGTGCGTTTTTGCACATCTTTTTGTAGATGCAAGTAAATCAATCAGGATCAGGATTGTAAAACTCGAATTTATTTGTTTTTTTTTCTGCAGGATGCTACAAGATCACGACGGTGTTCAGCCATGCTCAGACAGTGGTGCTGTGTGTGGGCTGTTCAACAGTCCTGTGTCAGCCAACTGGAGGCAAAGCGCGTCTCACAGAGGGTCAGTATCTGCACACAAACACCAGTTAAAAATGTGGCATGCACATTTCAAACTGTTTCTTGTTTTTACGTTAATTAAAAGGGGCAGGATTGGAGCTGGCATTGAAATATTTATGTTGCAGTTGAGTTCTTAAACTAGATATTTCTAGATAAACTAGATACCATTTGTAAACTCAAGTCTTTCTGCACATTTTGGTAAAGCTTGGACTTTGATTAAAACATTTTTCAGATGTTTAAGCTTGAGAAAACATAATCATATATATATATTTCCCATATTTGACGCCCTTCCCCATAGCTTAAAAATCATATGTAGACAGATCTCTGGTTTTCCATCTGTTTGCAAAGCCCCCATATTTTAAATTATAAAAACTTCAAAAGTATCTGGTTTAAATTCCTAATAAATCTAAATAAAGACTGAGATATTATTATAGTAAATTATTTTTACATTTTTGTGTAAATTTCAGTTACTATGAAGAGTTTGCCAAGGATTATTTGCCACAGTTTTCCCCGCACTGCTAAGTGACTGGACTTCCTCCATCGTGGTTTTCCAATCTCATTCCAGTGCCAGATTAACCTCAGTTTGCAGAAGGGTTGAGCTCCAACCATGGCTTCCCCCTTTCGAAGGCTGAGGACAAACCAAATGTAACTTTGTAGACTCTGAAATATTCCAGTAAAACCAGGACAGATCCTGATCCGCAGCTCTACGCCACACAATAGCCGTGCCCAGTCGGCAATATTTCTGCTCGGTGAGGCTCCTCTTTTGTCAGCGTTGGGCTAACGTGTCGTTTCCTCCGGCAGGGTGCTCATTCAGGAGGAAGCAGCACTAACTGTTCTCCCTGAAGCTGGAGGGGAGAGGAGGGGATGGACCGGTTGATATCAGCGTCTCCTGCCTCCGGGACGACTGCGACGGCGGAACCTGTGGTCCCGACTTGAAACAAGAAGAAGGAAGAAGACAGGGGACGCGTTTCCACTGTTCATGTTGACCAATTGGTTGTTGCTGTAACTCCACCCTCCAACCCCGTCTCTCTTAATAAAATGTTGTTTTGGCTAAAGCAAGGAATCCCTGTGTGCTTCTTACTGCATTTCCACTTAGTTTATTGATTCATATCCTGTAAAATGAATCTCTGCCTTTGGTAAAGTTAATTTGTGTACCACTTTATTTGAAGGGATGTAAATAAGACTGACATGATGCTGTAATGAACACAAATGTTTGACAGAAATTGTCATTTGGTAATTAATGACACTTTTAACATAAAGTTGCCTTGTAAGTGTCATTAACCTACTGAATGATAAACATTCATGGTTATGACACTGCCATGTCAGTTTTATGAACTGGCCTTAAAATAAAGTGTTATTTTCTAAACTGGGTCTAAGTTAGCATCACTACTAACTCCATAAAGTGACACTAGTATTGACTACATAGTGTCATGAGTTCAGCTTTACTGAAAATTTGGCATAAGAAATTTAAATGCAGGAATTTAGGCTGAATGGTAAAATTTCCACATATAACATACAGCTCTATAGAAAAATATGAAGAAACCACTGCAGTGAACCGCAGTGAAAACCTGGTTATTCCACCAAACACTGATTTCTGAACTCTTCCTGAGTTAAAACAGTATTGCTGTTTCTAAATGAATATAAACTTGTTCTCTTTGCATTATTTGAAGTCTGAAAGCACTGTAACTTTTCATTATTTTGACCATTTCTCAATTTCTGCAAATACTAAATTTTTGCTTGGAATTTCTGAGACACGTCAGTAGTTTATAGAATAAAAGAACAATGTTCATTTTACTCAATCATATAGATATAAAGAGTAAAATGAGAGAAAATAAATCTCATCGTAGAAGGAATTCATGAAGCGCTTACTTTATTATAGCAGTTAGGAGGACAGATGATCAGATCACAATCCTGTCAATGCTGTGGTTATACCACATTTTTCCTTCCACTAAACATTCTATTAATAAGCTTGTTTACATGACTTTGGATAGTTTTTTTTTTTTTTTTTTTAGCAATTATCTTCCAAATTGTGGAGGGTGTCAAGACTGCAGTTTCACCAAATATTTATTTATATATATTTTGTTCTGTTGTGATATCTTTTCATTTTCCAAAGGACTGAGTTTTTGGTTTTCATTAGTTTGAGTAAAGCCAACTTTTTTTGAAGTGGTGCAACAAATTAACAGCTAGTTGATTTTCAACTGAAAAATGTCTTTTACAAATCATCAGAATCTATTTGGAAACATTCACAAAAGTGTTGCTTTATAATTTTAGAAACATAACCCAAAATGTGAATCTATTCTACTGAAATTCATAGAATGTTACACAAACAGGCATAAAAAAATATAAATTTGAGTTTGGCAAAGTGTAAAATATGTTGCATGCTTTCAGTATGATACCAAGCTGTTAAAATGTATGAAGTGTTTATTTCACGGTCAGAAAAATGCAGATTTTACAGATGAGGAAAAACAGTTTCTTAAAAGAAAAACAAAAAAAACAAAAAAAAAAACAGATGCTTAAAAACAATTAAATAACCTGAAGAAAAATAATCCACAGGGTGTCAACTGTAAAATTTTACTTGATTAGGATCAACTTTAAACCTGTAATGGTGCGTTCACACCAAACGCGTTCTGAGCGTCAGGCGCATCTGTTTTACATGCAACATTGGCTGCATTCACACTGCAGCCTGAAGTGACCCAATTCCGAATTTTTTGCCTTAATGTGACATGTATCTGATCTTTTCATGACAATCTGAACACAGATCGGATTATTTTCGAGTGCGACCAAGATCGCTTGGATATCCGGTACGTATCCGATTCAAATGCGACCTAACCTCCAGGTCGCATTCATCCAACCTGAACATCACTGATACTCTACAAACGTCACTATTCTGCGCTCTGTTTCGCGCAAGCGCGAAGAACAACAACAACAGCCATGATGGACTGTATTGGGGGTTAAGTTGTTAATATGCTGCTCCGGCCGGACAACAACTTCAAAATCGTAAGCTATGCTAGCGTCCATGTTTACTTCCGCAAATACTGAGCTCTTCTTCTTTTTATGGCGGTTGGCAGAACTCAGGACGCTGACGCTATTGCGCCCTCTACTGCGCATGCGGGACACTTTCAGGTCGTTTGCCCGTTCAGACTGCAGAGGGCCGTTTGTCGTGTTTCGAGTGTCTAGAGTCGGGGGATTTGAACCGTTTGGAGCGTATGCGTTCAACGCGCGTCCGACGCTCCACTTTGTAAACCAGACGCGCCTGGCGCTCTAAACGCGATTGGTGTGAACGCACCAAAAGTGCACACGCGTTGAACTTGAAGCGTCAGACGCGTTTGTTGTGAACTCACCATTAGACTTTAATATCTTGCAAATCCAGTTTAATATCAGTGAAACGTTTTGTGTTAGTCCAGGAGAAATACCTTGAGAAGAAGTGAGCTGGGACAAATTTCTACATGTTTGTATTTCTGCTACATATAATGTTTTTTTTATATATATATAAATAACACTTGAGTCAGGAAATCTGCCCCAGCATGGCCACCATAGCGCAATTTTCAATAGAAACCTCCTGAAACCGGGTTCTCCTCCTCCCCACTGCGCCTTTCTACCCCTCTGCGCCGCTCACACACTCGCTCTTCTCCTCCCTCTCCCTCAGCAGGTGGCGGATGGAGGAGTTCTGCGTGGACAGCGTGCTGGACAGCAGCGGCATCAGGCACCGGAAGCCCTCCCTCAGCTCCTCCACATTCTTCACCAGGCTGCTGATGTTCGAGTTCAGCTCCCCCCTGCAGCCCTGCACCTCCGCCAGCACGTCGTACATCAGGCTCTGCATCTGTGCGCCAGTTTGGTGGAGGAGTTACACCAACGCTCGATCGAGGATTTGTTTTGAGGGAGTCACAGTTGCAGCCAAAACAATTCAATCTTCAATTTAGAAAAATTTGGTTTATTAGCAAAATTCGCAACTGTTCAGGTGTTTGCTGTAAACAAATTCAGACAGTCATGTTCCGTGAATTGAATTAGAGGATGCGTCCTATTGAGACTCGTTTGTCAGATACAAAACAGGTAATTTGTGAAAACATTGATCTCTGAGCTACTACTGCCATCTGAAGAAATGCACCACTCCTGGTCAAAAACAACCAATAAGAGCCAGGAGGAGGGTCTTAGCGCTGTCAATCAACCTCATATACTCCCTGCTAAACATGCTAATGGCGGAAAAACAACTTACTTCTATAGGAAAACTTGTGGCCATGCTAACTACACCAATCACTCATGACAAGTTTGGTTGATGAGAAGAAGCTGCAGCAAGGGGAAAAGTGTGAGCAGCGTGTACATGGACCTGATTGAGATCGCTAAGACCCTCCTCTTGACTCTGATTGGTTGTTTTTGAAAAATCTAGCAGACGAGCTTGATTTTTTCACAGATTATTTGTCTCATACCATACTGCTATGACATAGGGATAGTTTTAACAGTTATGTAAAAAATAAATAAATAAAAGTTACATACTGCAGCTTTAATGTTAATTCTCCTGCTGTTCGCTGATCGGCCCGGTAGAAATTCAACCAAAGAAATCCAATACAGTGGGAGAAATCTCAGTCAGGGTAGTGAAGGGAGATTTGAATCAAACAGAATTGCGTAGGACGGCAAATTGCCAGATTAGAAAGATTTGTAAGAACGTTAGTGGTAAAAAAAATCTTCCATGAACTGCAAAGGACCAGCACCAGCAAAAGCCTGGTCCAAAAGCACAAGCAAAATCACACGACTCAAAACCAGAACTTTTAGTCATTCGTCAGCATATCTGGACATTAAAAATGAAGCATACATAAAGGTACTTCCTGTTGAGAGTGAGGCAGGGCGGCGGCTCGGTGATGCTGGGGATCAGCAACCTTTGCAACCCTGAGAGCCTTTTCTGCCTTTGGTCTGTTTATAGTTACACAAACTACTTGAAACAAATTAACTTATTTAGCTTAGCTCAGTAAGATAATTTGATTTTAAAATTAAAGAGTATTTTTTTTATTTTTGTTTTCAGGTTATAAAATAAACACACTTTTTTGAGATTGTAAATCTGATGCTGAGCAAAGCTGACGTCTCGGTCAAAAGAGCAAACCAATCTCTCGTAAGAAGTAAAGATGCTGAATAATTTTGAGGCTGCACTTGAGGCACTTTGGGTTGAGTTTAGAGAGCCAACTAGATTTAGTTTGATTTGTTTATTGCAAACACCTTGAATGCTTCTTTATTTTGCTCATAAACCTAAATTTTTGGGGTTGTTGAATAATTTTAGGTGCAACCGCACATGATGCCTTCACTTGCCTCTCTCACCTTGCAGAGGTCAACGAGCGTGTTCCCCTGATCTGCAAGGATCCTCTTCTCCATCTTCACTCTCCGTAACCTGAAGGTGGAGAGACAGTCATAAATGCAGCTGTAAGGAATCTGTAGGAATCACTTGGAAAAAATTATTCAAAATGTCTGAATGCTTTTCATTTTTGTCACTTTGTCCCCAGCGAGCTCCAATGGATTTTTATTTTCATGATTGGATGATTTTAAGGTGGGAAAAAGATGAATAATTTTAATTTTTTATCAATAAAAATCTGAAAAGTGTGCATGCATTTCTGTTCAGTCCCCTTTATTTTGTCACCCCTAAATAAGCCCCAGAGAAACCTTTTTTTTTTTTTTTCAGAAGCCACCTAATTAGGAAATAGAGTTCACATTAGTTTAGATTTCCATTTGTGAAGGTGTCAGAGGTTTGTTGGAGAACATTAGTGAACAATCGGTGTCATGAAGGGAAAACATGAGAACAAATGATTGGTATAAGAAATAATCTGCCAGTGGAGCTAGAATTTAAAAAAAAAATCAACATTAAAGAATTATTAACGTAAAAATAAGCTGCTATTTCTTGCTGAAAAGTTACTTGTAAGTTACTTTTATCTTATTTCAAGTGTACTAAAATATTTGCATTAGAAACTAGTGATATTGTGTAACTTTAGTTTGAGTATGTTCTCTTTTAAAGTTGAATCATTTAAATGTCAATCACTGATTCTGCACATAAATTATAAATATTTCCTTCCTAAGAGTTTAACTGTAGAGTTGTATATTCTGTGCAAAGCTCACATATGCTAATCACCAGCTAACATTGGGCAAATGAAAATGTTTAGATAAGATAAACTTAATTTACTTTAAAATAAATACCTCCTAAACATAGCAAGACCGCAAACACAGATGCACTGTAGAGTAACACTAAAATGTATTTAAATTCCAAATTAAATCAGAATTTCGTGCTTTACAATTTATTGACACCAGATTTATAGATATGAAACAGAAAAGGAGGAACCTGAAAAAAAAAAAAAAAAAACCTTGATAAATCATATTCCACATGCTACTCATTCTGCTCTGTGGGATCGGAGGATAAATGGAAACCAGATTCAAAAGGCGGCAGGTTCCTGTGGTCTTACTGGTGGATGGCCAGCAGCAGCTTCCTCTGGTGCATGCGGACTCTGGTGTGGTCTCTTTCTCTTGACAGCTTAGTGTACTTGTAGATGAGCCAAGTCTCTCTCAGCACATTCGCTGCTGCAATTTTTATCTGGTGAAAGGGCGCAGAAAATCACGAGGAGTTATTGCGTGTTTATGCACATAACCTCTAAGTGCTGTTTTTACGGGACGTGCTGACTAACACCAACCAACCGTATATATTACTGAGAGCCACATAAGTCGTTTGGACTCATTATTGACTTTCATATTGAAAATAGATTGTAAATAAATCCTCCAGGTTGGCGTCTGCGTCTTTCTGAATCCCTTTCTGTTGGATTCTTACTAACCTGCGCAAACATTTTGCCCCAGTTGCATATTTTTCCACAATTTTTCATGTCAGTCTTTATTAAAGACGTCAAAAAAGGTGAGAAAACATGTATGTTAATAATTGGGCTGAAACTATTACTTGGAATAGTTGGAATAAGTGGCAGTTTTAGCTTCAGCTGGTTCAAATTCACATTTTATTGTCTTTTAGGCAATAAAATGTTTATTTTCTAATTTAAAAAAAAGGAATTGGATTGATTATTTTAATATTTTAACCCCTTTAGATGTAATTTAAACAAATATTTTATCAAATATTTTATCCAACAAAATGTTCAGCATTGCAATAAAGGGAAAAATAATTTTTTTTTACTAGCAGTTTGACACAGAGTTTACACTGATAAAAAAACACAAGCATAAAAATTTAATAAAATAAGTTATTGTTTAATATTTTAACCCTCTATAGGCCTAATGTACACACAAATGTTTTATCTAACTTATTTTTACACTCTTTGCAATTAGTTCAAGAAAGTCAGAGTTTATATTCATAAAAAACCATCAGCATAAAAATACAATAAATTAATTGTGAAATCACAAATACGCTATAAAATCCTTTCGAATACTTTTTTCTTTGCACAGTAACAATTAATAATTGTTATCCCAACTCCTGGTGTTCATTGAGTTTAGCTTTCAGAAGGTCATACAATTTAATCATAGAAAATATTTTCAAAATAATTTCACGTACTATCGCTGGAAATACTTGAAATTATACCGAGAGCAATTTCAATAGGCTCATAAATAGATATTTTTGATGGAAAATAAACAATTACTCCTCTTCTTCCCTGCAGAGAAATGCTTGTCTTCTCTGATGACTGAAGCTCATATCAAGTTAAGATTTAAAAACGTGAATATTCTAAATCTTCAGCAACAAGAATCATTCAAATTGAACGGTTTAAACCCAGAAATACACCACGCCCCTTCCAGAGGATGTGGGATCGAATATGATATATAAAAAGGTCAGAAACGTGTAGAAGGTGCCAATTTTGACAACTAAAAATAACAGTTTTGTTGCAGCTGCAGTTGTTAGCATTCACCCTCTTGGAGATGTGAGAGTCCATCATGAAGTTGTGGACGTGCTTCTCAGCTCGGGTCAACTCCAGCTTCCTGGCCACCACCGCCACCACCAGGACCGTGCATCCCGCCCCCTGTTGAAACACCGGTATTCAGGGTTGGATGGGACTGGATGGACTTCACGGTGGATCAAACTCCCCGCCTCTGTCTCACCATGATCCCGGTGAGGAGGCAGATGCTGCGGCCGCAGTAAGTGTGAGGGACCACGTCTCCGTAACCGATGGACAGGAAGGTGACGGAGACCATCCACAGGGCCTCCATGTAGTTGCTGCTAAGGTCTCTGTAATTGTGGTGCCTGTCGGGACAAACGAGACAATTTTCTTCCCCCTGCCAACCCAATGATGGCATAGTTAGTTTGAAAAAGTAACTTGATTACTGGTTACCCCTTAAAAATGAGTATCAAGTAGTTACTTTACTGATCATTTTATTTTAAATAATCAAATAAAATAGTTCAAAAGTAGTTTAAAAGTAACGACTTTTAAGATAGATTACAGGTTACGTTTACAGTTACTTTTAGTAGCTGCCGACAGCGCCCCCTGCTGCTTCAACATAAAAATGCCAATTAGGAATTTACAAAAATAAATACTAATTCATGTTAGTTTACATAAGCCAAAAAAAAGCAATATAAATACAGACAAAAATTGGTGTAAAAGTTACAATTTGTCATGTATTAATGTTTGTGACATTTTATTCAAGGAAATTGTAATCTGAGCATCAGCAATCGGCTAGTATGCCTGATCTGGGATCGACTGGTAATGTCTCCGTCCTCCACTAGGGGGCTTTCTTCGAAATAGGCCTACAAAAAATAACTCGTTATTTTGTCCCACTTACTTTCAAGGGTGTAGAAATTGCACTTTGTTGCCAGCATGTCGATATTGTAATTTTTTAAGCTGAAAACAAACTCAAAATATTTCCTGTATTTCCGGCTAGAAATCGCGCATTTGTCTCCTCCCGCCATTGTTTACGTTTGTGTCGCTGCGTGGGATTACACGAAGCAGGAGGGGGAAAGTAAGTATGGATGTTTTTAAATAGTGAAATGACATAGTGATTTGGATAAGTAACTTTAATCTGGTTTCTGGTTTGGAAATAGTAGCACGTTAGGTAACTTGTTACTGAAAAAAGCGGTCGGGTTAGCGCACTGCGTTACGACGTCACGGTGCCAGCCCTTACTGATGTCTTACTTTGTTAGGTTTGAAGTCATTTTTCATTTCTTACAAACCACAAACGGTAATAAAAACAAACCTAATAAATAATGGCATGTCAATATGCACCACACAAGGATGTGGCCCCTGGGCTGGAACCAGTTTTGGCACCCTTATTCACTGAGAACAAATTATTTCACTAATGCAAATCACAAGTACTTCTATAAAGAAAGTTGGGAAACTATTTATCAATTTTGAAACTCCTTCAAAATAGGAATAAGTTCTGACTTATAGACCTTTTAGTTCAGCAAACTAAAACCAGAAATTATGCGATGCTTCCACATCAGATGCTCTCCACACACATACCTCTCACACACATGCAGGCCCCACGCCGCCACAATCCACAGAGAAACACTGAAAATCATCAGGACAGTGCCAGGATAGGTGGTCATCAACGTTTTCCCCACAAAGCGGGTGTTGAAGTGGATCTGGCGATAATAAAAAAATCCCCTCATTACGTCATCATTTTGACACAAGAGCACTACTTAGCCAGACTACTTAGAGTAGCACCTGTCAGATAATCCTTACATAACACAGAGGAGATGAGGGATAAGAAAACTTGTTCGCAATCTGGCTCGATACATGGACAGTAGGTTTGGTTTTGCAGAGGAGGGAGGGATGCAGACGTCATTTTCATCACTTTTATATTGCGGTTACAAGGGAGGGATTAGCCAGGTGGACATGTTGAGATATGGAAATGAAAGCGGGCACATAAAGGAGTCAGCGAGGGACACGTCTGGCATGTGAAACCAGCAGGGTTCGTGAAAGTGAAAACTGTTAGTCACACCTCAAGCGTCACACTTCTACAGACCTCTCGGCCCACCTAGACACAACAAGATATAAACAGATGAGGATGAAATGTACAAAACTGAAGGGCAGCTCAAGTCACTGTCCAAAACAGACTCCAAATTTCACGTATCATACCCTAAGCAGGTTGCTTCTTGAATTTGTCTTCTTGATTCAATTTACACAAGTCAGGCTTTCAAAATTCAGTTAGGCCAGATTAAAGAAAGCATGTCAAGGAGTTTACGCCCCCACCTTGTTCAGGGCTCCGATGCTTCGGGAGGCCGTGTCCGTGAAGAGGCGGCTGTGCAGCATCATGGCCCGACCCAGCAGGTACAGTCTCAGAAACATGGGCAAAGCCAGCATGATCTCCAGCTCGGTCTCAGAGAGGGTTGTGCGGACTTTGGTCTTCTGGAAGTATGCCACTATTCCCACCGGATAAGGATGGATGGCCACTATGAAGAGCTCCAAGACGATCAGGGCGAAGCGGTCGGTTGTCATGGCTATTCTCCAGTCCTCTGCACCAATGTCATGAACGTAGAGCTGTCACAAGGAAGAGAAGAAATTATTTAGCTGGAGCAATTCTTCCGTCCAGAGTCGGATTTAGTTGTGGTCTACACAAAATCTTTATGTCTAGTTTGTAGTGCAAATATCTTATTTCACATCAAATACGACAAAACTAACTTGCAATAAACTTTTCAGCTAGAAATATGAGCTTGTTTTAAGACGATGACTCCTCAATATTTATGAAACAGTATTAGTTCACTTATAGGAAGACATTTTCCCCAGTAACAGTATAACTAATACTTTTTAAAATCAGTATTAAGGAATTATTTACTTAAAACAAGTTAATATATCTTGCTGAAAAGTCACTTGTGAATTAGTTTTGTCTTATTTCAAATGTATTAAGATAAGAGCACTAGAAACTAGACCAAAAATACTTGGTAAAATGTTGTGTTTTTTCAGCGTACTGATCAAAACTAATCAAAACTTTTCCCATTGAAAAGAGGAATACCACAGAGTAACCCCTTTAGCCCACTGTTATTCTAATTAGCTGTTGAATTGAGGGCGACAAAACATTAATGTAAAGGTTAGATTGGTGGTAAATAGTTTTTGTTTTATTACTGGACTGCCAACAGTATTTCTGAAAGATATGCTGGTCCCAGTTCAGAGAGAATATGAATCCCAACCAATATGTGTATGTGGGCCCTATGTAAATTTGGAAGGATACTAATTGGGACTTTAAAGTTTCTTCTAATAAAGGACAACATTGGGCAAAAGGGAATTAGAAATGCACAGCATATCCCAGTTTTTACCCAAAGTTGTTCTAAACCAATTTCTATTATTCTACACATTAAACCTATTGTGACAATTAACATAGGACCATTATTTAACCTGTGGACGATCCATTTTTTTCCCATATGGTCCCCATGAGTAAACATATTCCTTTCTTCTTCTATGTCTTCATAAGAATGTAGTTGCCAGATTTGGAAGATATCAGTTTTATCTATTTAAAAATGTCCATGCCAAACAAACTAGAATAATTTGAGGAGTACTTTTCAAAGTATGTTCCTCATTTAGCTCATTTTTTTTTAAATATTTGCAACTCAGACACCCCAGCCAGCAACATTCACTGCAGAAACACAAAATCTAAACAATTTCTGTTTGGTTTCTTGTGCAAATATCTTAGTATTCTTAAAATAAGACAAGACTAACATACAAGTAACTTTTCAGCAAGATATAGGAGCTTGCTTTTAGTAAAAAACAACAACAAAAAAAAACATTAATATTGACACGAAAAATGTTCTTTCCATTGGCAGATTTCTTTACTTATAGCAAGAGAAAAACATCTTGCTTTCTATAGTTTTACTTGTTTGGAGAAGGGTGTCTTAGTTGGTGATCTTTACCAGATTACTTAAGGTTAATCTACCTTATTTATAATTAAACTCCAGCTTTCTGAGGAAACTAAATCAGGAAGGGGGGGGGGGACAATATTTAAGGATCAGTCCTTAAATATTGTCCTGCTTTCCTTCAGCACTGGGTCACGGTGCTAAACCAGGTCAGCAGTGATTGGGAAATCAGAAAGCAGGTTATATAACGCGCTCCTCTGAGGGTGAGGTGTTGAGTTTGTTAAAAAAAAAAAAAGCGCCATTTCAAAACACTCAACTCTGAAACATTTATTTGAAACAATTTGAGAAAGAATTTTCCAACAGATAAAAAACTTTTTAAATGTTACAGAGAAATGGTTGGAGTCTTTAATTTCAAAGATTTTAAGAGACACATTGGGGATCATTTTTGGTTACGTAAGAATGAGCAGCTGGGTCACCTGCACCTCACAGCAGTGGTACGCCACGATGAGGCCCAACAGGATGAGCGTAGAAAAACTGATGACTGACTTGAAACACAGCGAGTAGATGGAGCTCTGCAGGAGAAGCAGCACATGGAGAATTATTCACATTCAACCTGTTTAAATCAGTTTGAAGAAACAAAATCAGAACAACCTAATAAAAGCAACTTCAAAACAATACAAATTCTGCTACAGTGCGTTATTATTATTATTATTATTATTATTATTATTGTATATATTTTTTTTGCATTAATTGCAAAAACAAAATCTTGCCAAGTATTTTTGGTATAATTGCTGTAGAACATTTTGAAGTAAGACAGTAACTTTTCAGCATTATATAGGAACTTGTTTTTAGTAAAAAAACAAAACAAAAAAATCCTTATTTCACTTATATCAAGACATTTTTTTCTTGTTATAAGTAAAATAATCTGCAAATGGAACTAGCTCTTTTTCATCAATATTAAGAAATCATTGGCCCAAAATAAACTCCTATATCTTGCTGAAAAGTTACTTGTAAGTTAGTTTTGTCTTATTTCAAGTGTAATAAGACAAACTAGTCAAAGGTACTGTGTTTGCTGCACCCTAACATTAACCCCATAAAGTTCAGAGTTTTTTGAACATATTGTGCATGTAATATATGCACATGGTGACAAATACAACTATTTCAGGGATGTAAAAGTGAGGAAACAGCCGTAGTCCTGTGTAACTGTCTATAAAATTGCCTTTTCCTGCTGTTTCTAACATCATGACGACATACTAAAGATGCAGCTGTGCAGTGTGATTTGTTGCACTCCAGAAACCCTCTGACCTTGCTGTAGATGCTCCAGGACAGCTCCGTCTCCATCACCATCATGACCACCCCGAACAGCCCCACCGCCAGGGCGCAGTCGTTCAGCCGCTGCCTCCTCAGGAACAGGGACCTCCTGCGGACCAGCCGCCAGCCGATGTTGTGCGTCCGCGAGTACGAGTCCTTCTTGGCGTCTTCCTTGCGTTTGGGGCTGTGCTGAGGACTGGGGCTGGGGCTCCTGGTGAAGCGCTTGGCCCCTGGCAGCGGCCCCTTGGCCTCCCCCAGGTGCTGGTGGTACTGCAGCGCCTTGTGCTTGTGCTGCTGCTGTTGGAGGTTGTCGTCCTTGCTGGTGATGATGATCTCTGGGAGGCTCTGGCGGTCGTGCATCTCCAGAGAAACGTTGCCTGGCTTGCGGTACCCTCGACCGTCAACATCCCTGAGATCCAGGTTGGACCTGCTGTGGCCCTTGAAGGGCGATCCGCAGGGGGACATGGGCACGTCGGTGAAGGACGTAACCGTCTCCTGGAGTCTGTTTGCGCTCAGAGTCTTAGTTTTGCTCTGGTGATTGCGCTCGTTCACACCTGGATTTTGCGGCCGTTTCTCGCATTTTTTCTCTTTGCCCTTGGTTTTCTCTCTCCTCCTGTTGGATCGAGGCGTCGCAGTGACGTAGAGGTGGCCATTGTACAAAGGCATGGTAGCCAGGGCCTGGGTTCTGTCCAGCCATGCTGTGTGGTCGATGGGTGTCTGGACTGTGTGGTGAATCCCACATTGGGGCGAGTAGGACTGAGGTGGGGCGACCATCCTCGGTGGCAGGAGGGGCCGGTGGTCCTCCAGCTCGTCTCCATCCACCACCGTTGAGTTCATTGACGGAGAATGGTCCATGGGGAAGAGATGCTTTTAAGGTTCAAGCAGAAGACGAGGGAATACGTTAGACAAAACAAACACGAAGGTAAAAAGAGTCTGAACAGATGGTAGCAGCAGTTGGACGGAAAATTGCAGCTGAAGTTTAGCGAGCAGAGATTTTTCACATCTTTGACATCTCTACGCCTCACATATGCTCACGTTTAAAAAAATTCAGGCATATAAAGGTTGTCTCACTTTGTATGGAAGAGGATTAGGGCCACTGAGAAAAAAATCTGGCTTTTTCTCTGAAGTCTGACTTTTAATCTCAGGAGATTAAAGTCATAATTCCGAGATTAAAGTAAAAATTCTGCGAATAAAGTGGGTATTGTGAGATTGAAGAGTTCTTACTTTAATTCTGAGATTAAAGTCAGAATTGTGAGAAAAAAAGTGAGAATTCAGAGAAAAATGTTGAGTTCTGAGATTAAAGAATTCCTTAGTCACAGAATTAAATGGGACAATTTGAGAATTCTGACTAATTCTGAGATTAAAATCAGCATCCTGAGAAAAAAATTGCAAGTTCTGAGGAAAAGTCAGAATTCTGCGATTTAAGTGGGAATTCTGAGATTAAAGTGTTCTTTAATCTCAGAATTCTGACTTTACCTTTGAGTTTAAAGTCAGCATTCTGGGAAAAAAAGTGAAAATTTTGAGAAAAAAGTCAGAATTCTGTGATCTAAGTCTGAATTCAGAGAAAAACAAGTCTGATTTATTTCCTTGCAAGTGGCCCTAATCCTCTTCCGTACCCCTGCAGAGCCAAATGTTTTCTTCTATTGCTTTTGATCCTACCTTACTGTCCAGGCTTGGGTCTCAAAGCAATGCTCAGCGAGGATTAAAAACGGCTTTGTTTGCTTGTTTCCCACCGAAGTATTTCAGCCCTCAGTCCTGAAGGTCACATTCGCCTGAATCACAAAGATCTTCAGCGTGAACTCCTTAAAAGGTCTCAACAGGATCATTTTCATTCGAGAACGTTCAAACAAAGATTCAGCACCATTCGGCTTGGTTGCATTCACAGCCTAATATTCCCAACGTCCGCTCCTTTCATGTGTGAACTTTCCCTGCGGATCCCACCAGAGCTCCTCCCATGGATTCGGCTGAAGCTCAAGAACTTCCCCTGAACACGTTGAGTTGGACTCGTTGATATCCATCACATCTAAAGACATTCATTCAGTCGCTCTGTGATCGTCAGGGCTTCTTCCTTAAAGCTCGGCTGGGGCTTAATGACAGCAAGGACTAAGTTGCAGATGTTGCAAAGGCAACGACTGGGTCATCTGTCAGAGGGGATTGGCAGACTTCATCCCGCCGGATGGTTTGTGTGTACATGTGCACAAATGTGAATGTGCAAAGACCCCTGGGGCCGAAGATCAAGCTGGAAATGTTTTTAAACTCAACCCAGAAATGGGATTTTACTGCATTTCATCTATAATCTCTTTAATTGGACTCATTATTTTCATGAGAGAAGTGTGTTTTTGAAACACTTTGGGGAAAAAGAAGACGTAATCCTCAATCAGTTCAGCAGATTAGCATTGAAGATTATTCAAGTGAAATGGAGATTGTGGGGTGATGAGATTATGAAATATCAAATATGCCAGCCGACTCAAGCAATAGGGTGGAGTATTAAAGGCCAGAGTCATAACAATGACATTCAGCATCACAAATTTATCTAAATCCGTGTGACAGATGGGTGCAAAGATAATAGAGCGGCCTCTGACTGGAAAGACCCAAGAAGGGGAGCGTGGGTGGAGTGCAACTGGATAGTAGCGGGATAACAAAAAAAAAACTGTATTTAATCTGTAGACACCGTCTATTTAAAGATGGATTGAGGGAGAGCAGCGGGAGAGTAACAGCAGGTATCATCCACCCTGATTTTGCCTTCTTCAGACGCTCTTCCAGATGTTTATTACAGTGTTTTGAAGTATTCACAGCTCACTGTGTTATTTTGGGGCAATTTTTATGTTAGATATCAACAGGAATAGTACTGTGAAGAGGAAGGGAAAATATACACAAAACGATTTCAAACAGGCATTTGCAAGTAGGCCTCCTGATTATACACTTTGTTGAATCACCTTGTGCTGCAGCAACATTAACTTAATCTGTTTAGCAAGTCAAATTTAAATCTGACTCAAAATTAGCTAGAAAGCTAGTGTTAGCTTAAATGCTATCATTAAGGTGTTGGCTTAACACTAGCATGTTGGATAACATTAACTTAATTCATTAACTGGGTAACTTTAGTTTTCAGGTCAAAATTAGCTAAAAGCGAATGCTAGCTTTAATGCTGTCGTTATCATGTTGGCTTAACACTGCCATATTGAGTCGTCTCAATTCTTTTTCGTTTTCACTTGTTTTCACCTTGTACCCTGCCTTTAGATTTCACAAATTTCTTACCAATTAGCATGTTTCCTTGTGAATAAAAATGTTGCCAAAGTCATATAGTTGTGACCAGTGGTGTGCAGTGTTTAATCAGTTTTGGTCTGTTCTGACCAAAGCACTTTGTTCCACATGCTTGCTGATAACGCAACTGAGATAAGATAAAATATGCATCTATATTTGTGCATGAAAACAATAGACTCTTTTCAAGAAATTAAAAATATGAATATTAGAAACAACAGCAGGGATATTATTTAAAATAAAATAAAAACTAAATTAACTGCATCAATGTAAGCATTCAGGTTTTTTGTTAGCAGTGATGGTTATAAAGTCTTACAGCTGCTGGGAGGAATGATCTGCGATAATGCTCCTTTGTGCACCTAGGACGTGACAAACAAAAAAATTAAAAATTTTAGTATTATTAAAAAACAACAGCAGGGATATCATTTCAAATAAAAAACTTAAAATAACTGCGTTCAGTTTTTTTGGGAGCAGTGATGCTGATGGGAGGAAGGATTTGCGATAACGCTCCTTTGTGCACCTAGGATGCAACAAACATCTGGTGTGAATATCAATACATTTTCAGTCTTCTGTTTATGGAAAAACTGAATACTGCATATAATTCTAGTTCCACACAAAAAGCAATTAAAATACTTTAAAGTGTTTGTATATAATGTGACAAAATGTGGGAAACCTCAGTTTGTATAAATACTTTTATATTTTATATTTCAATATTCTAATTCCTTATCATTGCAGGCAGTTTTTGATTAAATCTCTCACTCAGCACAGAAAAACATAAAAAAAATCTACCCCATTTAGTTTGTTTTTATAGGGAAAAAAACTACTGCATCCTCACTGTGTTCTAGTTACACACACCCACAAATGTTTCTAAATTATGTTGTCCTAAATTATACACATCTGCAAGGCTTCAAATTAATTCAAGCCTCCTGCCAAAAGCTTGTAAATCCACACTGCTGTAGTTGGTAGCTGAGTGTCAATTCTTCTGGGCTTTGTGGACAGAAGCCAGCACATTTTCAGTTAGTCTCCTCTGCTGCAAATCCTCCTCTGACTGTTAAGAAAGTGAAACGAATCAGGGGATATTTTCAGCCTCCCTAATTGCTGGGGCTGGTAAGTGGCAAATCTGCTTCGTGCCCTAAATCTTCAGCGTGTGCCAGTTTATCTTCTGGTCAGGTTAATTGCTTCGGTCTGATCTGCTGGGAGGAAAAAAGATAAACAAGACTCACTTGGAGAGGTAACAAATAGGACTTAAGAAGTCAAAGGTTGTGATTAGAGACTAAGGAAGTGTCCTACATTTTTGGGTAGAGTCGATTGAGAAATTATGAAGATGCAAAGCGACAGAAGATGACACAGGTAAAGTTGATTTAGCTCTGGCCAAAATATAGCTGAAGGTCTCCTGTAAGATCCCAAAACATCAACAGACTGATCTAATGAGTGTTACAATCTAAAATGCATGAGCCAAAAACAGATCAGAACCCATCTATGAAACAACACTGAGAGCAGTTGTCTGCACACACTTCAAAGGAAACTGAAAGCGGAAAAGCAGCCACAGTTATTTTTGATCCTGCTGCCTTCTGGCATCTAATACAGAAATATCCACAGTGATACCAGCAGACTCTGCATGTAGTTACATTGTTTTGCAGCTTAAATGAATGTTGAACCCCTAATATTTTATGTATGAAACCCAGAGGGCTTAGGGTAAAATATTGTTGTACAGGATGCTGTTGTTCATTAAATTAAATATGTTATTGTGAAATTCTGCTGACCTCTTTGGTGGAAAATGCCATTACAGGGTAGTGACTGTATTATTCTGATGATCATGTTATGTCTTATTTTAATGCTTATGAAGAACATCAAATGAACCAGTCTGAGCTGCACACCCAGATTAGATTATGTTTTCTGCAGCCAGACTGTCTCTCCAGACGTGAATAATCTGTCCTGGGTATGAAAATAATGTGTTGAGTCTGTCTGACAGAGCTTTTTACTCTGCTGTGTTAATGAGTGTCTAATCTGGTAAGCTCTCATATCCTGTACAAGGTATTAATAAACCATGACAGTGCTTGACATTTTTTTACTTAACACATCAAAAAAGTCAAAGAATGTTAAGCTGATTTGTCCAGATGATCACTAACTGATTGATCAGCCAACCAACCAACAATTTGACCAAAGAATGGGCCAACTGACTGACCAACCAACCAACTAATCCCAAAACCAATTACCAACCAACCAACCCCTAATGTTCATATGAATCCCCAAATCAATGACCGACCAACCAACCAACCAACCAACCAACCAACCAACCAACCAACCAACCAACCAACCAACCAACCAACCAATCAACCAACGACCAACCAATGAATCTCCAAACCAATGACCAACCAACTAACCCCCAAGCCAATGAGCAACCAACCAACCAATGACCAACCAACCAAACAACCCCTAATGATCATATGAATCCCCAAACCAATGACCAACCAACCAACCAACCAACCAATGAATCCCCAAAACAATAACCAACCAACTAACCCCCAAGCCAATGACCAACCAACCAACCAATGACCAACCAACCAACCAACCAACCAACCAACCAACCAACCAACGACCAACCAATGAATCCCCAAACCAATGACCAACCAACTCCCAAACCAATGACCAACCAACCCCCAAACCAATGACTAACCAACCCCCAAAACAATGACACCAATGACCAACCAACCAACCAACCAATGACCAACCAACCAACCAACCAACCAACCAACCAACCAACCAACCAACCAATGACCAACCAACCAATCCCCAAACCAATGACCAACCAATGGATCAACCAACCAACTACCCAGCAATTTACCTAACTAGCAAAATATAGAAACTGAGTGGAAAAAGTAAGTACAACCTTGCATTTTCACACAATTTTAGACCGGAAGCAGTGGCCAAGTGCTGCCTTTGTATTTAATTAATTGACCAACAGTAGCCTATAAAAGCAGGGATTTTGTCTGTTAGAGGTTCCAGTCTGCATGTATGTGTTAACACAATGCCAAGATGGAAAGACATGAGGAATGACTATAGTTAAGCATTTGTTTCTGTCTATTTGGTTTATAAAAGCATTTGTACTTTATTTGTTTATTTTTCTACACAGATAGATAATATTTATGTGAGGAAAACGTTCAAGATAGCTGCCGGTGTTTCCAGCTTGAGACTTCACGTCAGATTTAACTCAAACTAAGACTCTGCAATGCTCAGAGAAATACATATATACATATGTATATATAAAACAATAAGGTCCAACTCAGACTCTATAGATCTCAGTCATGTTAAAGGGGATGTATGTTGCAAAATTCACATTTTGCATGTTTTTGTTCTTCCATTTGGATCTCTAGTGCTTCTGGACCAGCAGCCACCAGAAAACATGAAAACTGTTTTTTCAGAGAGAGGACAATATGACCTGAGCTTTAGCTGGATTACAAAGTGAGGTAAAGGTAAATCATCATATCTTATTTCATCACCCGACGCTATAAACACATAAATATTACCTGAACTAAGCTCATAGTCCACACAGGCCTGCAGCCCAAATGGCTTTGTCTGAACCTTATCACTTGGAGCCAGTTTAAGGGGACTCTATTTGTTTAATATATGTTCTGATTTATTTTGAGCTTTAGAAGATGGTATGCTATTTGACACTTCTTTTATTTGAAAGTTGTAGCCAGTTTTTGACAACAAATCACTTTCCGCCAAAGAAACACTTTGCCAGATCCACTATTCCACACATTTTATTGGATTACAGTCCACTTTGTCCTCCTCCTGGACTTGCTGCAACAGGATGTAACTGAAATCCATTGGAGCAGAACTTCATCAACTTAACTCCAGTCCGGACAACAGAAAAAAGCCACTCTGACAAAATCAGACTTCACAGGGAAGTGCTGGTTTTGTCGATAACATCCTATTAAGTGGAGGGGACATGTCAGCGTAGGAAAGGGCCTAATCCAATCAGCTGGGTAATTAAAAACACACAGCACAGCAGGAGCAATGGCAGATGGCTGATGGCTGCATTGTCAGGTGTGGCATTCAGCATTTAGCACAGTGGAGCATTAAGTGTGCTCAACCAGAATAAAGTGAATTTCACAGCAAGTTTTAATGCAGAGGCTCATCCTCCAGATACACCTCATTATTTAAAGAGACAGTTCCAAACCCCTGATCAATGAGAATACAAGAACGGATAAACAATGTTTTTATAAAAATAAAAACAGTATTTTGGGGCCCCTGTCAGTTAAATTAACAATATTGTTGTTTTTACTTGTTTTTGGCAGTAAAAGTTAAACGTTACCACTCCTAGACCTGAGTCTGCATTGTTGACCGCAGTACAAGACCAAGTAACGCGCTACTGTAAACTAAGTAACCCTCCGCAGACTTTTAGGTGAAAATAAGCAATACGATTAAATCAATAAATCAAGTTTATTTGTATAAACGTTTCAACAAGGCAGTTCAAAGTGCTTTACATCATAAAAATACAAAAATACAAAGTCAGAAGACACCACACAGTCAACAATTAGGAAAACCAGTAAACATTACATAATGTCAAGTGCCGTCATTACACATTATGTGACATTAACACCGAAACTAAATTTTCTAGGTTAATTGCGTGCATTAATGTTGACAGCAGTAATATTTGAGAATGTTTTCTTTTTTGCATTTTTACTTTTAGTGCAATTTTAAGTCTGCTTCAAACCTTGCTTCAAATCGCAGACTGTTGCATGTATACTTCACTAGCAGTCAAAGGGGCAGTATTATGTAAATTCGGCTTTTTAAAGCTTTACATCGTCTTTATAATGTATTCCCTTATCAAAAACAGACCTGGAGCGTTGTCTCCATTCTTTAATGCGTGTTTGAGAAAACCTTTAATCGCCATGGCAACCATTCAGCTGCAGAAAAACCCTGAGTGAACCTAGCTCCGCCTTCAAGACAGATCCTCCTGTAAGGTGCAACTTTCATGCTTCTCCCACACTCAGCTCCTTCAGACTAGCCAGCAGCAATTAGCGAACACCTGTTGTAACTGTGCATCTGCTGAGCTGCCTCTCAGTGCAACGCTGGTAAACACATTCTTAGAGAATTAATAGAGAAACAATATGGTGATAACTTCCTGAAGGCGGAGTTTCAGAGAGAGCAGAAATTTTTAAAGAGACAGAGGCCCAGTTTCAAAACGTTGAATTACAAAGTCAGATTTATTCTAATTGTTTGATATAGATAGCATTTTTATAACAGTGTTACTTGATTGTTCTGTCAAATATCACAATAGATACATAATAATAAATTGGATCAAAGGAAGCGCGGCAGCTGCAAGTCTTAAATTTTTTTTATGTAAAGCCTTTGATGGGTCAAATAGACTCAAATAGATCGTGACGGCAATTCTGGTTTTTGTCACAAGCCCCAAAATTCCTGGCACAAAAATGCCATAAATTTACCCCACTTTTTCTAAAAACGTGCATTTGTTGGTCAATGCATTAAAGTAAGTTTAGCAAAGCATGGTTTGTGGAAATTAACTCAGTTCCTTCTCTGACTTTATTTTCCTGACATTTTTTTTTTATAATTAACATCTCATTTCTGTCCTGCTCTGCTTATCCGACTCCCCTGCTTGTTAATTGAGAGCGGCTCCTTGCTGCTTCCTGACAACACTCCTGCCAGTGCTGAGCTCCAGCACAGCGTGCACTTGGAAAACAAACCACCAGATGTCACCCACGCCTCAGTGCCTCCAAGCTGTGTCTTTACGAGGCCTAATGAATTTAGTTTTGTTGGCTCTGTGTCACACTGGTTGCTCGGCGCACAACAACGTGACGTGCAGAAAATCAGCTAGGCACAAATTACAAAAAAAGAAGCAGCAACGAGATGATTAGATTCTGCTTATTTCCTGCTCCAAATGTGCAGTTTCTCCTGTTTTTCTTGACTCTGCCATCATTCTTTTCGCCTCAAAGGGCCCACTCTCCATCCTCTGTGTGCAGCGGAGCATGAATGTGTAGCTCCGGATGTGCGACAGGCTTCCTGGGAGAGAGGGGGGTAATTCCGAAGGGCAGCAGAAGTAATAGGGTAATCTATTATACAGTCTAAGTCTTTCTTCCTCATTTTCTTGCCTCCCTCCCCCTTTCTGTGCCTCGGTCTTTCAGCTTCTCGCTGCCTCTGCCCTTGCATCAGCATTTCACGAGGACAAATGAGAAGTAGAGTTTAACTATGCACATTCCCAGTGTCCTCCTGCAGAGCCCAGCACTTTCTCAATTAAACCGGAGTCCGTCTGCACCGCTGATTCAAAGACCTCACACACACTCGCTCACATACGTACATAAACACACACACACACACACACACACACACACACACACACACAGGGCTTTCAGCCCAGCGGTGCGTGGCCGTCACCACTGTAGTGTGTTATCATGAGTGAGAGAATCTGTCATGGAGATTTCTGAAACATGCTGTGCAGCACATGTTAACAAGAGAGAGATAACACAAAGCAGGGGTGTGTGAAGGATGAATTTATGAGAAACTGTTGGGGATTTGGAGGATAATCTACTGATTACAAACTAAAGGGTGAGGAGAAAACTCAGCCAAATATTTCAGTGGGATTTTTTTTTTTTTAAATCTTTTTTTATTTGCTTATTATTTATGTTTGAATTAATGTTATTCAAGTATTTTTGTAACATTTGTTACATTTTTGATTACTTACTATTGTGTTGTAGATAAAAAAAACTCTAGTGTTTTTATTTTTTTTAATTAGTCAAATTAGTTAATTCTTTTTATTTATGAAAACAGACACATATAAGGTCAAAACTGTGAAAATATTTGACATGCTACATTTTCGTCACAAACCTGCCAAATGGCAAAAATGTAATAAAATAAAAGTAGATACATAAATAGAAATTACATATTTTAATGTGTTTCTTCTTATGTCTTTAAATACAAGTATAATAAAATATAAATTCAATACATAATTATTGAAAATCAAAACAAAATTCATTAAAACAGATAAATACATAGAAATTATATTTTTAATCTTATATACATATATATATTTAATAAAATACAAAATAAAAAAAAATCAATCGCTGAAAAATGAAATAAACAAATCAAGATGGATAAATATTTAGAACTTATATTTTTAAATTTCTACTCATTATTTTTATTTGACGATAAACGATAAAAACGAATAAATCAAGCGTGAATTATTTAATATAGTTTCTATTCTCTGCACTGTTTACATGAATGGTCTCATCTTCTCCTTTTCCCAACAATCTTCACCATCATCTGCTCAACCAATTAAAACCTCTCCATCCTCACCCTCCTTCTCTATCTACAACCCTTTCACTCGCATCATTGACATTTTTCTTGCTTTTCCATTTTAGACCCACCTCCCCTGAGAGGCAGACAGAGCTCTCAGCTCCCATCTCCTCCTCCCCCTCTTCCTCCATCACCTCCTCCTCCTCCTCCAGCGAGCACATGCTCACGCTGCTCCCATCTGATGCCGACTGGATGCGGAGCTCCGCTCACATCTCCATCCTCTCTCCATCCCCTTCTCCTCTGACATCTAGAGCGTCTCCGTTTTCTTTTCCCTCCGGTTGCTCCTGACCAGGATGTGGCACTCTGTGGCTCTTCTCCTCTCTGGACTCTCCGCTTTGATCAACGGTGAGCTTGACTTCATCTCTCCTCCTCGTTCATTCAGGATTCTGGCTGCAGCAGTGGCATTTTATAGGAATACAGTCGGGAACGGGGTGCTATTTTCCTTTCTTTTTTTTTTTTTTTTTGCTTCATCTGATATGAATTATAAGGAGAAACAAACATTTTAAGGGGAGAAAAGTGAGAGTATTGCTCACCTGTTTGCTTGTGTATTTACATCTAGGGGTTTCTTTTAGATTAATGTGTTATGGTTTGTCTGGAGACATATGTTCTGCGCTTGGATGGCTTTTTTTTTTTTAACCAGGCAGATTGACATCACGGTGACACATGCAGCAGGCAAAACGATCCGAGTTGTCAGAATATTTCATTACTCCAACATTTTCATTCTGTCCAAATCTGCGCTCAGATCAAGGTAACCCCCCCCTGCAGAAGGAGCCCATCAGTTTAACGACACATACAGATCAGCATCTTGCATCTTGCCTCCCTGTTGCTGCAGCCGGGAAGCTGAGTAGGTTTCGGGCTGACGGCGGATGACAGAGCTGAGAGGCAGATCGGGTGAACTTTCCCCACAGGCGACGAGCGAGAGAGAGCGAGATAGGCTGTAGATCAAAAACCAGAACGACATGAAAGACAGGAGGACAGGAAGGCAAAAGTTTCAGACTGTGCTTCTGCAGGAAGAGAAACACTCTGAAGAATCCAGAGCTGCTGCTTCTTTCACTCGGAGGAGCTTTAAAGCAAGCTGCCTGATGTTTCTCTGACTCACATTGACGTCCTTTGTCCTTTTTCACAGCACTATGGAGAAGTGCAATAATATTAATCACACTCTGTCTTGTTGTTATGAGGTTTTCTCCCGAGTTCAGTTGCTTCTTTTCTTCTTCTGTGCAGTCTGTGCTCGACTTTGGCAGAACTTTTTAAGTATGTGCATGGGAATTAATAAAACGTGGATGGAATAGCAAGTGAATAATTTAAAAAAAAGCTACGTGAACACTGAGCAGTGTATGAAACTGAAGTCTTAAGGAAATAGCAGAAAAAAAGTCAGCAAAAACTTGAGATCTTTTTTGGTAATTATCGATTTGGTGTAGATTTTGTAGCCATTAAGACTTAAAAACAGGCTTTTCCTGTTAAACTCTGTTGTGTTGTTTGCTGAAAATGTGTCAATCTGATGGGTTGCTGGCAACTTTATCTATTTTCCTCCCTGCTAAAAAAGCAACACCACAGCGTGATGCTTCCACCACCTTGTTTTCCTTCCTTATCTATCTATCTATCTATCTATCTATCTATCTATCTATCTATCTATCTATCTATCTATCTATCTATCTATCTATCTATCTACCTACCTATCTACCCATCCATCCATCCATCCCATCCATCCATCCATCCATCCATCCATCCATCTGATATTTGTACGTTCAACTTTTCTTACACATTCTGAATTTCTTTTAAGAACCAGTTGAAAAGATATTTTAGAAATTCTGGATCGTTTGAAGCAAAACTGAAGGAAAATATAGAGAGGATTTTTTTACATGACTGAAAAGAAATCAGAATTAATTTAGTCAAACCATAAAGCCTGTAAAATTGTTTCAAAACTCATAATCTTATTAGACTCCATCTTTAAATTAGGGCTTTTTAGTGTTTTTCCTTTAGCTTTGATGGAAAGTCTTAATTTTTCTAAAGTTTGACTCCATACTTTACCTCTCACTTGGCTCATTTTCTCTTTTTATGTAGCTGCTGCTTAGTTGTCACTTTGAAATTTTTTATCTCAGTCACTTCTTACTGGTTTTCTTTTCTGGCATCCATTTCAGGATCCAGTTTAAAATAAAATGCTGTTCCTTTGCTCCACCAACACGGCACCACCTTGTATTAATATACTTGTCACCAGAATACTGAAGGTCTACAACTGATGCTATTAGACAGAGGCTAAAACAAACATTTGCTTTTGGTTACCATGGTATTTATTTGTTTTTATGTTGGACCCAGAATTTCTATGATTTCATATCAGTCCTAAAAATAATTTTGTTGACTCTTTTTGCAGATTCTTTGCATTTTTACTTCGTTCCTCATTATATGTAGATGCTTTTCTATCTTGTGCTGCACTTCAACGCCTGAGGTCGTCTTTAAATAACAGGAAGAAATGCACTGAGTTGACTTTATGTGTAAAAATGGTGCTTTAAACTCAGCTAATTAAAAGGGTTATAATTTGAACAGGACATGTTGGGTAAAAAGTTTTATCTTGAACACATTTTTCCTGTGTACACTAAAAAATATCGGTAGAAAAAAACCTCCAAAACAAACCTGTCCATGTCATAAGTGATCATTTCTAGAAACTGTCTGCAGCTCTGGTCTGAGTTTCTAAAGTTAAGTTTTTAATAGTGATTCTTCTAGTCAAAAGAACTGAGTGCAGTTAATTGGAGACTTAGCAAACCGCCACCCTCTGGGTGGATTTAAAAGAGTTCTGTTACAAATTCAGCTTGTACTTCACCCCAGGGGAGACTGATTCAAATTTACATAATTTCTGCTCCAATTCTGAGCAGAATTGTTACTTGGATTAATTTCCCTGTTTTCCTCCCAACAGCTGGATCACCACAATAGCTTTCTTTCTGACTGTGCAAGTTTCATCTTTCTCCAAGCCATCTGTCTGGGTTTTACCTGGGAGTGTTTATGTAACTTTACTGATCTAACGCGAACTGGTGACATTAGGAGAAATTTGGTGTTGACAGAGAACAACTAAAAGTAAAAGCACAGAAGAATAAAGTCTTTCCTTAACTGATAAACTCTAAGCAGCACATTATTAATTTGGTGTATTATGGTTGTTTTTTCTTGTATATAACAATATCTCGTCCAAACTTTCTTTGTTTTTATAAGTTTTTTGTTGTCAGAGTTCCCTCTAGAGAGAGTTACCTACTTTGAAAAGTCCAATTATGTTTGATGTATGGCTCATCATTTCCAGATTTTTGATTTTATGGCTCTAAGAAACATTTGTCCCACTAAAACTTGAGGAGCATCTCATAAAAACTACTCATGTGATTCTACTACTGCTTCATAATATCCAATATTTCAAAACATCAGGATCTCTATAACCCTGAATGAGACAGAAAACTGTATGGAGGGTTTACTGAATGTGGAAAAAGCTTACTAGAAGTTATGCAAAATAATCTTTACATATTTAATTACTCGTCTCATTTGCATTTGACCTCCATACCTTTGAAACCAACCTAATTACACACTAGTTTAAGATACTTTTTCCCTGAAATAGTTTGTTAGTATTTTTAATTGGTTCACTGAGGATTGTCTGAGTGTCTTTTTTTTAATTCTCTCTTTAATTTCCCACGGGATTATATTAATCTGTTATAATTGTTGAATGATTATTCTGAGTGAAGAGCAAGACCTTTACACCATGTCTCATTAGGAGACAACAAAAGTAAATACAAGTGTGCCTGAAAGTGACATAATAATGACCTAATTTTGCAATTACACAACTTGTTTCACCCCATTAACTTTTCATTTAAGTCACATTTCCCTAAATTTGATTTTATATGTAAAAATATTCATTTTCTCTTAATTAAATGTTCCGATCTGACACTGACGGCTTTTGCCTGCAGCAGTGATGTAACCCCAAACCCATTTCACTGGTTAAGGATTTCCTTCGGGGCTGGAATAACCTTTGTGATTTCATCAGGCTTGATCACATGTGATCATTTTTGCCTGCTGTAAGTCTTGTTTTGTTGTTTTATTTAGTGTCTTTGCAGGGGCCTCACCAGAGGAACCTGCTGAAAAACCTCCTGAAGGACTACAACCGGATGGAGCGGCCAGTGGGGAATGACTCCCATCCTCTGACTGTCTTCTTCACCCTCAGTTTGATACAGATCATGGACGTGGTATGTGGATACGAACTGTCTATTTATGCTGCCAATCTCTGAACTGTCAGGCCATATTAATCCAACATCATGTGCTTTTGAGCTTAATCCCTCTCTGCTGTTGAAAGCAGTGTTTTATATCATTGGATCATCAGTAATTGACTCTTTGCTGACCTCAGGCCAGGTCCCAGCATCATTAAAAATGCAATTTGCCCTTTTAAAAAAGACATCTTTGGATTCGTCAAGCTCAGTTTACTGAGCTGGTTCTCCTCAGAGTCTCTAATTATTCGCGCAGAGATGCTCAGATCCACAGCCATCTTACTCTGGACACTAAAATGTTGGCCGGTCATATCTGTTACAGCTATGATTTGGTTTATTAAGTATTTCTGTAGCTAAGTCAACCTTAAAATCATCTTTAAATAATCTTCAATACTCCACAAGGTTCTGCTCTCTGCTCCATTTCATTTTTGCTGTTTTGCTTCCCGTTTATTACATGAAATCCCTAATCACCGCTATGCAGATGACATTCAGCTTTCTGTGTTGTGAAAGTTTAAGTCCTACAGAACTCCTTAAAAAACATAAAGTCCTGACTGTGTGATAAATTTCTGTATTTGAACAAGGACGAAGGTTTGGCTGTTTTTTCAGCCAGCTTGATCACAGATTATTGGACTCCTGGTTACACTGAGAAATATTTGACAGTATATCATCAACAAAACATTACAAATGCTCCCCCCCCCTTTTCATCAGTTAAGGAATATCCTTAATATTTTCAGTGCTGAAACATCAATGGGTTCTTTGATTTTTATTTCCTCTTGTCCAGATAACCGCAGTTCAACTTTTACTTCCTTCTTGATTTTCTATGACTTGATTTTCCAGGCATCACTATCACGCCCCGTAACTGATTAAAGAACAGAAAATAGTTATATACACAAACACAATTTGTTAATTAGGCTAACATATTTTCTTAATTCTTCATGATGTAGTTACAACCATCAGATAAATCAGAAAGCCTGAAACTGCAGCCTTAACTTTTTTGTTGTTGTTGTTGCTATATTTTAAATTTATCTGGCTTCAAGATTACTTTTTAAATTTTGTTTTTAAAGAAACTACTCAAATATGTTCAAATCTGTTTCAGGATGAGAAGAACCAGGTGTTAACCTCCAACATGTGGCTTCAGATGGTAAGGACCAGGTGTTTGACTTTCCTGGTGTTCTGTGTGTGTATGTTTTATGAACCACTTTATATAACCTGTAGCACCAAATTAAGGTCACAAGACTCTCTGTAACGCAGTATCTCTAAATTTAGAGCTAAGAAAAATGGGCCTCTCTTTAGAAATGCCAGTAGAGTTAAATGATTGCTTGTCCAAAAGAAAATAAAAGGCATCATCTTAATTAAACTCAGCAAATGCGTTCATAGTAAAAAGGTTTTACTCCTTTCAAAGTTTGGACAAAAAAAAAAGGAATCTGGTATTTTATGGATTCTGAAATCATTAAAACACTCAAGTCTTACTAAGAAAAGCTGTCTGGAAGACAAGAGAACGCCTTCAAAAAACTGTTTTTCTGTCTCTCTCACATGATTGTGGAGGGATTATTATCCACTATTCTTCATGGTGTTGCTTCAGTTTGTGTAGGTTTGCAAATATTGGTTTCTGCACAGTTCTCTTAAGGATCCACTAGCTTTTTCTGGCCCATTCCAACGCCGCTGCTCTTTTCTTGTTCAGCCATTTTGTTCTAGATTTGCCAAGCTAAGCTTCAGCTGTTTGACGAATAGAATTACATTTGAAAGAAAACTTTGTCACACACAGGAATTCATAGTCAACTCAATGTGCTTAAGTCTTCTGGCTGCAAAATAACTTCAAATCATCAACCCTCTACCATTCAGACAACTTCAGGGATTTTTGTTTTCAAATAAAAATACCAAGAACTTTAATATTTCATAAGCTTACTGTGGCCTGAATACTTAGAAATGTAACGTTTAGGGGGTATTGCACCAACTTGACCTTGTTGTGAATTTGCTGGGAGATTCCCTCCTGGGAAGATTTGAAACTTTCTTTTTATGTTTTCACCTTGTGAGAGGTTTTTCTTGAGAAATACTTGACATTAATTGGACAGTTGATTTTTTAAGGATCATTTCAGATTCTTAAAATTCAGCATTAAATATACAATGTCAAAGTTTATCGACTTCTTCAGAGCTGATGGAACAACAGATAGAGTAGAATGTGGCGCAGATAAAGTTAAATTAACACCAATTCTGACAAGGACCAAATAGATTTATGTACAGTGTGAAATTTAACTCTTTAAATGTTGATCTAATGCAGCAAAATTTGTTGTGAGGATATTGGAAAAATGCACCTTTTACAGCAAAAAATTGCAATCATCAGAGGTGATCACACCTTCTAGTGATCAGTTTATCACGTATATTAAATTAGAAGTTTTTTTTATTTTATTTTATATCCTGATACAGACCATATTATTTTATAACAATAATAACTTTAATTAATTAATAAAGAGTGTACATTGTTTTTTATCATGACTGTAAGAGTCTCCTGGTGAAAATTAACTTCAGCAATTAATATATTTGAACTAAAACATGCTATTTAACCATAAGTGATGCAGAGATGTTTCCTATTTGTTGAGTTTGTATGCTCTGAAGACTTTATGTGCCAGTCTTTGCAAATATTTGAAGTGACTCTGCTATTGCATGCTGTCAACTTTTTAAAAGTGCCTGCAACACTTTCCTTCCTGGTGGGGGAGAGTACTTTGGCATTAATCTATTTCTGTTCATCTGGAACTGAAGATAAAGTGTCTTTCCTGTAAATCTGCTGGGCCACATCATCTTATCTGTCTGTGTTGGTCTAAAGAGTTGGTACGACCACTACCTGCAGTGGAACCAGAGCGACCACCCTGGCGTGAAAAACCTTCGCTTCACCACAGATCAGATCTGGACTCCAGATATTCTGCTCTACAACAGGTAACACACCTGAACACAGTAAACACCTCCGACACAGTGATGCACACCAGTAGGTGGTGACACTTGTCTCCCCTGTCCTCCTCCCTCAGTGCAGATGATGACTTCGACTCCACCTTTAAGACCAACATTCTGGTAAACTCCAGCGGCTTTGCAAAGTATCTCCCTCCAGGTTGGATTATCGTTCTGCATTCATTATTCTTTTTCCTAAAATTATTAATTACAAAAGCTACAACGCAAAAACAAAAGCCAAAACAGAAAGGTTTTAGCTATGCTAAGGCCGAAATTATGTTAAAATGTAATTTATGCTAAAGCGGAAGTTATGCTGCCGAATTTGTGCTAAACCGGAAGTTATACTGAAGCCGTTTTTTGCTAAAATATAATTTTTGCTAAAGTGGAAGTTGTGCCGAAAATAAACTTATGCTAAAACGTGATTTATGCTATAACAAGATTTGTGCCAAAGCCGAATTTATGCTAAAAGTGAGTTTTTTGCTAAAACAGAATTTAGGCTGAAACGGAAGCTATGATAAGCATGTTAGCATAACTTCCGTTTTAGCATAGCTTCTGTTGTGGCTTTTGCTGTTGTGACTTTTGCTGTGTTGTTTTATTGCGGTTTTTGCATTTTGTTGACTCTTGTGGGCCCACTGTATGTTACTATAACCTTTAAAAAAAAAAAAAAAAAAGCTGTATTATTTTTCCTTCTACTTCACAATTATACACTGCTTTGCGGTGGTCTGTCATGAATAAATACATTGATGTTCGTGGTAACAACGTGAGAAAATGTGGAAAAGGTGAAGTCCTATAAATACTTTTCCGATTTTCTGTTCTATATATAACTAAAATTGTTTAAGTCCCCCTTTTTCATCATGCCTGTCTGATACCTCATTTCCCGGAGGTGCAGCAGCTCATTCTGCACTCTCTGCATGCCCTCTTGTTTATACATTTGACATGAATATTTCATTGATAGAAAAACAACATTTGTGAGTATAAACTGCCTACAGCGCTCACTTCCTTCTCCTCATTTCTAAAACTTACGACAGACACTCCTGCACTCCTGTGACGGTGACGACTCCCTCAGGGTTTCATGGGTTTTTGCTTTGTATTTTCTCAGGCCCTCCCAGATTAAAAGAGCCTTAGAGTGAATCCCATTGTGCAGCTGGGAGTTAGAGCTTCAATTACCCACTACAGTAAAAGTCATGGACAGCATTCAGCTCATGGACCAGATTTATTGAATCATTGCTGCTGAGCCTATGTATGTCTGCTCTTTGCTGAGGTATAGTTCAGATTCAGTCAAGGGGGTGTTTAAAGAAAAAACTCAGGTGTGGAAAAGTAAGTGGAGAGGTTTTTGATGGCCTGACCAACGATATAAATTTGCTTGGAGCTGCTAGTGAGGGTCTTATTGACAGTAAAAAAATGCTACAGGTATGCCAAATCTAGTTAAATAGCTTATAAATGTGGATAAAACTTATAAAAATAAATTAATCTTTTATTGCAGTAGCATTATCTCATATTACATTATAGGGAATTTGTTCAGTGGAGGAAAACAAACCATGTTGCTTTAGTGAAATCACTAGTGGAAAATTACTATCGTATGTGTTTTTTATTTAGTTTTTTAAGTTATTTTGAGTTTCTATGACTTTCTGTTTTCTTTGTTTTATAAAAAACGTGACACAAGGTCTGCTTCTTGTAGCCACTGGCTATCAGGCTGGACGAGGGCTCATATTTATCTTGCTCCTACGCGCTGTGAGGTGGATGTTAAGACATAAAAAATTTAAAAAAGAAATCTTCAAAGCTCACTATTTGAGCACTACTTCAAAGCATGAAGTATGTCTTAGGTATTAGTCTTTTTTAGATGCTATCTACATGCAGAGCTTTTCTATCCTTCCACCTTGTAAACTGTGGAGTTTGCTGAAAATTACCAAGACTTTAAGTAGAAATAGTCATTCCCTATAAGTTAGAGATTTTTTCCCCCTAATGACTAGATTTATTCATTATATTTTTCTAAATATTTTAAGGTTTTTGCCACATACCAGGCTGCCAGTAATGATGTTGGTGCGTTCCTAAAACAAAATATAAGCAGATAATCAGATTTTCCCTGCACGCCAGCTTGTGACTGCTTTGCTCTGATTAATGACATTTCAGACAACAGGTGCAGCAAGTTTCAACTCTTATCTCCACTGTGTCGCATTTACAGTGAGGCTTATTTCAAGGCCATGTAATGCCTCCAATGCAAGTGATTTCTGCTGTATTTTTAGAGCCGCCTTTTCTCCGTGACAGTGACAAAAGAAAATCCCCGGAGCCTTGAGAAATTTTTGAGAGAGGTATAGAAAAAACAGAGCTGAAGGAGAAGCAGAAAACTGAAGAGACCAGTTGCTTTTGTGTCTTGTTTGGGCTTTGTTTTAGGTTCATATGGCTAATATGTGATTGCGTCCTGATGAAACAAGTGTAAGATTGAAGCTTTGATTGCATAAGATGGATAATTTACTGATCAGTGTAATCAGAAAATAATTACACTGGATGCTTAGTTGTGTACAATGATCCTTGTTGCTGAAAGCTTCATTCTTTGGAATCGGCACCAAACAGATTCACTTATAGAGTTTAATCCATTTCATCCATTTAAAGTTACTGTAAATAACCATGACATGTTATAAAAAACATTTCCCAAGTTTGTAGAAGTCATTTTAATCAGATCTAACACCAACAAGGTCATTAAAAACAAAGAATTATATGAACAAATTCAACATTTGTGTTCTGAACATTGAGTGGTTTCTTGTGATTTCACAAAGTAATTTAAAAAAATGTTAAAAGTTTTTCTGTTTTTACAGAATGGCAGCTTGCATGATGGAAATACAACAATACCTACCACTACTACGTCTTCTAATACTTGCAGGGAAATTGAATAGTAACAATTTCTTATCTTTTTTTTTTCCTTCTGGTTCCCAATAATGTGATTACTTAAAACAATTTCACCCCCATAAAGCAAGTGCAAGAACTCATTTTTCCAGAGCAAAAAGTGCATGAAAATAATTTCACACTATAAATGAGAGATTAACCTCTGCATCCTCTCAAACTGGAAGTCAGCCTGCTAACTTCTTCTTAGAGCTTATTTGCATGTCGACAGGCTCACAATGAACTTCTCTGTGAGCTGCAAGGCTTCCATGACATTTTGTTTGTGTGTGTGTGTGTGTGTGTGTGTGTGTGTGCGTGTGTGAGAATGTCTTAACAGGCCTGATTAATTTTGTCCTTTAAGTACATTAAGAGCTTCAGTCTGCCAGAAAACCGCTGTGTGGATCATTGTGATTCCCAGGGATAACACCCTGGGCAGAGCGCCGTGCTGATGCATACGTGTGAGGACATTTATTTTGCATGATAAAAGGGGGCAATCTCATTAGGGCAGGGACTGTAATCTAATTTTTTCAGCGGTGCTGTGAATGTTTGCATTCTGTTGATGCTCAGCTAACAGCTGTGTGCCGGCAGAGCGGAGAAGAGAGAATCTGACAAGCAGAGAAAAGACACAGACGTGCCTTTGATGGGAGGCAGTTTGCTATCTAGTCAGCATTCTTTTCTTCAGGCTTCTTCCTAAGTTTCAAGCTGTATACTCATTGGACTCCTACTGTTGGCCGGGCTGCAGAGCTCGTCTGATCCTCAAACACGTCTTTGCCTGTCTCTGCAGGAATCTTTATGAGCACGTGCAACGTGGACGTCCGCTGGTTCCCATTCGACATCCAGAAATGCGAGTTAAAGTTTGGCTCCTGGACATACGACGGCTGGCTGCTGGACCTCCAGATGACCGATGCTGACATCTCAGGATACATGCCCAACGGAGAGTGGGACTTAATTGGTAAGAAGAGAAAAAAAAAAACATCCGAAAAAAGACCCCTTTACTCCTGAATAATCGGAGTAAGTTTCTCTGATTGAATTCCTTTAGGTGTTCCTGGAACCAGAAATGAGGTTTTCTACGACTGCTGCAAGGAGCCGTACCCAGACGTGACGTTCGTGATCACGATCCGCAGGCGGACGCTCTACTACGCCCTGAACCTGCTCATCCCGTGCGTGCTGCTTTCCTCCATGACCCTGCTGATCTTCGTGCTGCCGGCCGACTCTGGAGAGAAGATTTCACTGGGTGAGTGGCTCAGAGCGGGCGGACGGTGAAGCTGCTTGGTTTTACTCTGACTGCGAAACGTTCACTTCAGGAAGGTGCAAACAGAGGCGACACATCAAAGTCTAACACAAAGTAACAAAAAAAAAAGCACATTGTAGCATCACGGCTGAATGTAGCACAATTATGTCTGAGTTCAGACATTTGATTCACTTCATGTACATGTTTTTAAATAAATTATTTAATAATAACCCATTATTCCCGGACAGCTCCACCGGGAGGAATGAAGCTGCTAAGAGAATCATTAAGAGAATTAGAAGATCGTTAGATTTGAGTAATAGCTTTAAGACGGGTTACGTTGGCTTCCCATGAAGAGAAGCCCGTTTATTATTCCTGCAAAAAGTCTGTTTTTGTTAAAGCCAGAGTTGTCTTGTAAAATGTTTGGCTATTTTGGAGTTTAAGATGTCAAGTTGACCAAGACATGTTAGAATATTTTATGTAATTTTTGTTTATTCCTATTACGCCGTTTTTAAAGTTATCAGAAAATTAATCCAGTGACGAGTCAGAACGACCAGCAGGCGTGAAAATATGTTTTTTTTTCTATTTTTTTCCCAGACATTTTGCTGCCATATCTGGTTAAAGACAGCTGTGCGAGTTGTTTGTAATAAGCACAACACAAGCAAAAGTTTTGATTTTATCTGACGTGCCGAGACTCGTTCTGATTAGATTGCCGCATCCTGTCAGCCTTGTCTCTTTGCGCAAGTTGATTATTAAATTAACATCTTCAAAACAAAACAGAAAACCTTGGCCACAAAAAATAAAAAGATTTTTTTTTTTTTTTAAATGAGTGAGATCAAAAACTATCTGTTATTAATGTGAAGTGTTTGCAGCAGAATACCTGCATCATTTATTCCACAAAAGCAGCTGGATGTTTTTGTGAATAAAATCTCGAGGTCATCAAAAATAATCAGCACCGCAAAAGATAAAGAGAAGTTTTGGTGAAACTAATTTTTTATGACTCAATTCTGCAGCAGGAAAAGAATCTCCAGATCTCTGACTTGGATAAAGTTTTAGTGTTTTTGAATGCAACCTTTTTCCCTCGGGTCATGACGTCAGAAATCTTCTGATTTACCCAACGTTTATTTCATGAGTTTGTGAAGAATCCAGATAGTTGTAAAGTTGTTGTTTTTCCACTTGGAGCTGCTGTGCTGCTGTCAAAGATGTTTATTTCAGGGAACTACTTTAGAAAATTGTTCAGTTCTCTTTCTTTTTTTGTTGTTGCTGCTTTTATGACTCCACCATTTTATGTTGGCAAATTTGCAAATCCAAAACCGACTCCTGGTATAGGAAGCAACTGTTATGCTTATGTTTCCGAATTAATCCTCTGTTTTAGGTATTTTTATTAGGGTTTTTTTTCCCCCCCATCTGTATTTAGCAAAGCCCAATTTCTGGATAAGTTTTTATTTAGAATGAAGGGCATTTAAAACATAAAACTACATCTACAAATTCTGAAATTTAGAGTGGAAAAATACATTAAGAGAGAAAGATAATACTTTATTTGAAGGGCTGTGGATAAGACTGAGATGATGCTTCCATAAGTGGTTATGTCTGTTGTCATGAAGTGTCATTTGGTAATGTTAATGCCAAGTTTACAGTTTAAATGGACTTTTAATGAAAGTTTTAGTGTAACTTTGCATTAAAAGTGTCATTATTCACCAAATAACAACAGTCATAAACATTCATAAAGAGTCCTTCATGTTTATAAAATTGTCATATCAGTCTTATGCACACCCCTTAAATAATAAGGTGCTACGGAGAGAAACATAAACTTACTGGCCACTTTATTAGGTTTGCTTTGCGTGTGCTTTGTTGAACATCTTTTTGCACTCAGAGCTTCCTTATTTCCTCATGGCAAAGATTTATCAGTGATATTCCTCACTGGCATGCAATTTCAGCAGATTTGTTGGCTGCACATCCGTGATGTAAGTCTGTAATTTTTTCACTTCCTGAAATTGTTCTGCTGGATTGTAACCTGCTGCCTGTGGCGCCCATTAGACTACAGCTACTATATTGTTGTATTCAATAGTTTGAGATGATTTTAATGTTTTGATATTGACCATAATCCTGTTGGAGGAAAACATAAGAAAAAAAAAAAAAAAACTGGCACATTCTGTAACCTGTAAAGTTTAATTTGATAAAATTTATGAAATACATAAAAAAAAAACCGCAAATAAAACCAATAGTTAATTTTTTTTTTTTTTTTTTTTCTTTAATGGGAAAAGAAAAATTTTTTTGCCTAAAA